CTCCCTCACAAGAGCCGGAGAGAAAGTGAGCGCCCTCCCACCTGGAGGCTGACTGGACGTGCTCGGGAGCGCAGGATCCCACCGAGCTGCGAGAGTTGTGCGGCTGCTCGTCTCGGAGAAGCCGCGATGGCCCGCTTTACCCTGGCTCGAGCCAGGAGCCGCGCCTGCAAGGCAGCCAGCGTCGGCAAGCGAGTGGGAGCCGAGTAGCGGCTGCAGGAGGGAGGAGACTGGAGGCGGGGGCAGGAGGCGGGGCAGGGGCGCCGGGGCGGGCCGTGGGCCACAGCTGGAGTAGAGAGGCGCCACACCTCCCGGGATCTGGACTCGGCGTCGGCGCCCGCGACCCTGCCTCTTTCCCCAGCCTCGAGCGCGGGGGTCCGAGGGGCCCGCGTCTGGGGTCTCCGGAAAGCTGGGAGGGATGCTCGCGGGAGTGGAAGGGTCAGTGCGCATGGGAGCGGGGATGCTGCGCGGTGCGGCCGCGGGCACCTAGGGGACCTCTCTCCTGGACTGCAGGGCTGAGGGTGAGCCCGGGAGGCTGGGCTGGTGGGCGCGAGCTGATTCCTGCTCCCATAGCCCAGAACCCCGAGGAGAGGGCAGGGCGGGCGGGAGTTGGGCGCCGGACAACAATAAGCCCAATGAGCCGCAACAACGCCGGCGCCCGAGAAAGAAGAAGCCAAGCGGAGGGGTTGGGGGAGCCCGAAGACTGCCCTGAACCCCGCCCCCTAAAGCGTTCTCACCCTGGCTGGGCTCCGTCAGGCCTGCGAAGCCCAAGGGGGTGCCCGTGGCCGGGTGGCGAGCGCCCCCTGCCGCTGTCTACGGCCAATCGTGCCACCGTGGCCCCGCCGCGTCGGGGGTCCCTGAAAACGCTCCAGGCTGGGGAGCAAGCAAGTGCTCAGAGATGATGGCTTCAGCTGTCCTACTCCTGCGGCTGCCTCGGTTTCCTCCCTTGAGGGCAAAGAGGTAAGAGGAAAACTGGCTTGGACTCAAGTCTCAGCAGCAACAGAGACGCAGGCAGGGGTTTTTGTGGGAGTGGGGCGCTCTGGGCAAACTCGACCCCTTGACCTGTAGGAAGAGGATGTCCCCTGGCGCAGAGCAAGGACACTTGGTGGGGTTCTCAAAGAAAGAGCGAGTCTCGGGGCATCTGTGGAGAGGAGCTTCCCTTGCTCCTTGTCCACGCTGCGGGCCCCTCTTGGGTGGCCCTGGGAAGAGGAGTTGGGTAAAAAGAAATTTCTGAGTAAGCACACACCCACCCACCCCATCCTGGGTTCGAAGCGCTGTGGAGCCAGGGCTCTCCCTCAAACACCCTGCTCCTACCCACTCTCCCTGTGGCCACCGCCCTCAGGGGCGCTCTTTTCTCCGCTTCAGGAGCCCCTCATGCTGTCACTCCAGCCTGGCCTCGAATGTCTGGCACAAGTGCATGACACCCTCTGTAGGTATCTATTTGCCTAGAGGAGTAGGGCTGTGCCGCAGGACCCACCTTGAGCCAGCATGCTCACTGGACCTTCCTCTCAGCTCCATCCGCGTGGGAGCAGGGAGTACGATCTCTCAATGCCCACAGACAACGGCTCATCCCTACCCAGGCTCAGATGGGCGGTACCCCAGGTCCCCTAGCCATGTGGTAGGGACAGGGATGTGTGTTCCGCCTTGATCCTGGGCTATCAGCCTACCCAGCCCCTCTATTAGGTGCCCACAACCAAATGGGTCCAGTGTTGTCTAGACTGGGTTCCAAGGGGGCATGCCCTATCCAGAGGCAGGTTTCATGGATGCACCTCCCCACTGGCTGGACTGGGCAGGGCCTGGACCTCCAGTTGGCAGGGATGGAGAGGTCTCAGTAACCCCTCCCACGAGGAAGGACAGAGGGTGACTATTGGAGTCTGAGGTGCAGCCACTGAAGCAAGTTCTTGCCTGTCCCCATGGCTCCCTGGTCTGTGGCTGTGCAGTCTGAGTGCCCTGATGGCCCAAAGGGGCTTGGGAAGGACCACTTTTCACCCTCTCCAGTCATACTCAAGCCAGGAGTCCAGACACTACAGCCAGCATCAGCCTTTGTCTCCTGCCCATTGTCTTTAAAAGGTGAGGAACACTGCAGGAACTGAGGCCAGAGCTGCTCTACTCCCTCCCCTGACCCATGCAAGTCCCCACTCAGGGGTTCTCACTTGGGCTTTCCTGAAGGGGCTCTAGTTCTACCCAATACCAGGCCCTGCTGGGTACCAGTCTAGGTGGAGACAGCCAGGGACAGTCTACAAGCACCCATGAGGCTCAACCACCACCCCATGCTCCGTGTCACCTGCTGCTACCTTTCAGCCCCACCTCCAAGACATAACTCTGGCATGGGGGGCAGTGGGGCCATTATATAACTGGATTCCTGCTCCTCTTTGCAGCTCTCCACACACCCCCCACCACCACCAACCCCCCCTCCCCCCTCTACACACACACACACACACTTTCCAGTGCCTGTTCCACCCAGCCTTGCTTGAATCACAGCCTCGGACCACAGCAGGGCTTCCTTCGAGTAGATCTGACTTTCCGTTGTCCTGCTGTTCCACCAGGCAGAGTTCAGTCCCAGACCTACAACCGACCAGGAGCAGGAGCTGCCTAGGACAGGTACTGGCCAGGCTTCCTGAGACCCGTCTCCCCAGACCACCCTGTCTGACCCAACCTCACCTCTTCCCACCCCACCAGGCTATGTACATGTTGGTCCCTGGACATGCCCTGAGCTCCTACATCTCCAGTCCTTTCCAGGCTCTGTTTGCTCTGCTAGAAACTCTCTCCTCACCTTTCCTTCTGTGCTTGGCAGGCCCCACTCTCTTTTCAAGGTACACTCACCTGTCACCACTCTCTCAGGCAGAAAGAGGTACCCTATTGTCCAAGTTCCTTAATTCCATGCACACAGCACCACTGGCATGCTCAGAGCACTGTACTGAGATGGCGGCCAATGGATTTATTGCATCACTCCTCCATCAGAACAGACATCTCTTCTGTCCCCAATACGTGGTCAAGCTCGTTGAATGGTGATGGGCACAGGTATCAATGGATGGCATACACGTGAGCCTTTCTCAGACAGGTAGAGTGCCCAAATGAAGGTGACCTCCAGGGATGTCCTTTAAAAGGGGGACCTTGGGGGGAAGGTGGCCTGGTACCATGTTTCCCAAGGGAGGAAGACGTGTTCCATTCCCAGCTGTGAGAGTGCAGCAAGGGTTGTGCCATCTTAGCTGGAGGCCCTGGAGCCACTCCTCCAGGCCTGAGCGGTGAGACTGGCCCCAGGTCCTCCCAGGCCAGGGCTCCAGCAACTCAGGGCCCACCAGCATGATCTCCTGAAGCCCCAGCCATTCAAGTCCCTGGGACTCTTCTTCCCAGACCACCTTGTCTGACCCGATCTCACCCCTTCCCAGACCCTTGAGCAGTGCCCTCTAATGTCAGTCGGTCATCCTCTCTTCCTCCTTTACACTCGCCTAACAAAACCCCAACCCTGGTCAGAAATAAATCATCCACCACCTTTTGCCTTTGACCAAGTGGCTGCCTTTTCCGGAGCAGAACACTCACTGTATCGACTGGCCTTGCTTTCAACTTGCAACCACAAATCTCCAGACTTTCCTAGAGCTGGGTTCCCCCTCTTCAGAATTGGCTTTGCTTTCACTCTCCTCACCCCACCCCCAAGCTGTGACTTTGCCTCCCACTCAGGAGAAAGTGGAAGCCATAAGGCTGTCAGCCCACATGCTCCCTGCCCACTCACTCCAGGTCTCACACCCATTTCCCTGAGCCTCGCCTCGCCCCTTGGTCCTCAGTGCTGTGAGGGGTGCCCTCACCCCTGCCTCCAATCACAGGTGTGATTTCCTCCAAAACACTCCAAAAGCACCCACCTCTGCCCATTCCCACGGCCCACGCGCTCTTGCTTGTGCAACTGCAGTGCTTCCAGCTGTTCTCCGTGTTCCCGTCCATTTTCCACAGAGCATCCAGAAGGGCTTTCTAAATATTACATCAGATCTTATCACCCCCCTTCTTAGAACCCTTCAGCAGCTGCTCCTGCTGCTCTTGGCTAAAACCCTCCCTTCTGACTGGCCTGGCCCTGCCTGCTCCCTGCTCTTCATCCCCCATTCACTCCGGCCTGACAGACCCTCCTCTCCCTGGCTCA